CAGACCCTGCCTTGGCCCTTGGACGGAGAGTTTAGGATAGGTGAGGGCGTGCGTTCCGACCAATCCCACCACTGTCCTTTCCTGTAAAGTCAGCAAAGCATAGAAGACTGTTGTGTGCATGTGGGGCCTACTGGAAGAGTGTGTGGATCTTGGCTCACAGACAGCTACGTCCTCCATTTTGTAGAACAAGTCAGTCTACAGGAGAGGATGAACCCAACACGCCGGCAGATAGAGCCCAGGAGGGGGTGGGGAGAAATGGCTACATCTTCTCAATGGTCCACCTTCTCGTCCCTTTGTCTTTCTCAGACACTCGAGCCAGTAAATCATCTTCCGCTCAGCTTAATTCAAGGTCATTTTTGCCTCTTGAAAGCAAGAGAGTCCTGCCAAGTAAATACAGCATGGCGCAGAGGCCTCCAGATCAGACCATTGTAAGAAAATCTCGGGGTGGGGGGGAGGCAGGTTGGCGGCAGGGAGCAGTGTGCATCCGTCAGGGCCTGCGTGGCTGTTCAAGGCTGTTCTGCATTTTATCTCATTTCATCGTGGCCGCAGCCCTGTGGACCGTACTCCTGGGATGCCCCTTCACAGCGGAGCCCCTTGCTCAAGATCACGCAGCTACTAAGAGGCAGAAGGGTGTTCAGACGTAGGCGGGGCTGCACCAGAGTCCGGGCAGTGAACTTCCCTACCAGAACTCATCTCTGGAAGTTCCCAACTCCTGTCTCCGACACCGCTCAGTGACCGAACTGTTGCGTTAAACGGGGGCCACTCGTGTAGCACATCTACCCCTGTCACTTTCCAGGGGTCCAGGGCTGAGACGTGACCTTATCACTACTGGAGATGCAGCTCTTGCTGTGAGTTGCAGGATCATTTTTGTTGTCTGACATACTTTACAATTTTAAATGTTTCCTTTTGTCGAGATGTTGAATCCACTGAGGTTTCCAGGACGGATTTGGCTTGCCGTCCAAAACAACCGTTTGACACACTGAAGAATGTCGTATCACTTCTCCAGGGAGTAAAAAGCGGATTCGAGAAAGATCATTTTCCTCCCGCCCCATGACGCTCCACTGCTTACCTACCAACAGCTGCTTTAGGCAAAATTACATCCACTTTGAAAAATATTTTCCATGACACTGTTCTCTTTGAAGAATGAGCTCTGGTCTTCTGCCAGTTGGAGATTTGATGTAACCAAAGATCTTAATCCAGCCTAGAGAACTAAATTCACTGAACACAGAAAGAACAACTTTCGCAAATGTGCTGTTTGTATTCCTACTGTGAAATAAGATCTGACCCAGCACTTATCTGGGAAGAACTCCCACCAGAGCTGTGGAAATCTTGTTTCATGATCAGAAATCCTGTTGGGGAGAGAAACCATGCTGCCCGCTGTCCAACAAGATGAACTCCTTCATTTCCTGATGTTCTCGTGTGAATCCCCAAAGCACGACTGGCTGGTAAACTGCACGGGCTGGGAGGAAGGGACAGAAGTTCCAGAGAGCAAATGGAGACCATGGGAGGTGCTGGACTCCATCATTCACTGTGAATCATGGTTTTTGTTGTTGTTGTTGTTGTTGTCGTTTTCTCCATCGTTTGAGCTCCAAACTGAATGAGACTAGTTAAAAGTCTCGGAAATTACAAAACAAAACAAAACAAAACAAAACAAAACAAAACAAACAAAAAACCATATATGATTTCTGAAATATCAGGTGGTATTTGACACTCACAGGGTGGCCCCTCTTCTGGGGAAACTAGAATCCACGTTGAAGAGCTTTGGAAACTCTGAAATGATATTCCTATGAAGAGCCTCCCAAAAGAGTTAAAAGGGAGAAAGAACATAATCTTTGAAGTTACTAAAGAGCTGAGACATTTAAAAAATGTTTCTGTGCTGATCTCAGATTTCAAGGTATGCTACACAAAGCTATAACAATCAAAACAGTATGGTATTGGCACTAGACAGACACACAGATCAATGGAACAGAATAGAAAGCCCAGAAAGAAACCCACACTATATGGTCAATTAATTTATGACAAAGGAGGCAAGAATACACAATGGGGAAAAAAGTCTCTTCTGCAAATGGTGCTGGGAAAACTGGACAGCTACATGTAAAAGAATGGAACTGAACTTTCTTACACCATACACAAAAATATGCTCAAAGTGAACAAAAGACCTAAATGTGAGACCTGAAACCATAAAACTCCTAGAAAAAAATATATAGGCAGTAATCTCTTAGACATTGGGTTTAGCAACATTTTTCTACTTCTGTCGCCTCAGGCAAGGGAAACAAAAGCAAACAAAAAAACTATTGGGATTACATCAAACTAAAAAGCTTTTGCACAAAGAAACCAACAAAATAAAAAGGCAACCTGCTGAATGGAAGAAGATATTTGCAAATAATATATCCAATGAGAGGTTAATATCCAAAATATATAAAGAACTTATACAACTCAAACCAAAAACAAAACAAAACCAAAACCAAATAATCTGATTAAAAACAGGCAGAAGACGTGAACAGACATTTCTCCAAAGAAGACATCCAGATGGCCAACAGACACATGAAAAGATGGTCAACATCACTCATCATCAGGGAAACGTAAGGCAAAACTACAATGAGATATCACTGAACACCTGTCAGAATGGCTAAAATCAAAAACATAAGAAACAACAAGCGTTGGTGAGGATGTGGAGAAAAAGGAACCCTCTGGCACTGTGGGTAGGAATGCAAACTGGGTTAGCCACTGTGGGAAAAAGTATGGAAATTTCATCAAAAAGTTAAAAACAGAACTACCCTATGATCCAGTAATTGCACTACTGGGTATTTACCCCCCAAATACAAAAACGCTAATTCAAAGGGATACATGCCCCCCTATGTTTATAGCACCATTACTTATAATACCCAAATTATGGAAGCAATCCAAGTGTCCATCAATAGATGAATGGATAAAGAAGATACAGTATACACACACACAATGGAATATTATTTAACCATAAAAATAAAAAGAATTAAATCTTGCCATTTGCAATGACATGGATGGAGCCAGAGGGTATAAACACTATATAAGCCAGTCAGAGAAAGACAAATGCCATGAGATTTCACTCATAGGTGGAATTTAAGGGAAAAAAAGAACAAAGAAAAGACACAAAGTGAAAAACAGACTCTCAACTATAGAGAACAAACTGCTGGTGACCAGAGGGGAGGTGGGTTGGGGGGATGGGTGAAACAGGTGATGGGGATTAAGGAGGGCACTTGTCATGATGAGCACCGGGTGATGTATGGAAGTGGTGATTCACCATATTGTACGCCTGAAACTAACATAACACTGTATGTTATACAGTATGTGTTATACTGGAATTTAAAAAAGGATCCTTCCAGCTCTAACATTCAGTGTTTCTTAAAAACAAACAAAAACGGGCAGAGGAACTGAAGAAAACTTATTACAAAGAAGACATACAGATGGTCAACAGACACATGAAAAGCTGCTCAACATCACTAATGACCAGGGAAATGCAAATCAAAATGAGGTATCATTTTATACCCATGAGAATGGCTAATATCAAAAGGAGAAGTGACAGCTGTTTGTGAGGATATGCAGAAAAAGGAACCCTTGCGCATTGTCGGTGGGAATGCAGATTGGTGCAATTGTGGAAAAAGGTACGAAGATTCCTCAAAAATTTTAAAATAGAAATACCATATAAGCCAGTAATTCCACTATTGAATATTTACCCAAAGAAAAAGAACACAATAATTCAAAAAGATATATGCACCCCTTTGTTTATTGCAGCGTTTTACAATGGCCAAGATGTGGAAGCAACCTAAGTGTCATCGATAGATAAATGGAGTAAGGAGATGTGGGATGTGGGTACAACGGACTATTACTCAGCCATAAAAAAAGAATGACATCTTGCCATCTGTGACACCATGGACGGAATTAGGATGCATCATGTTAAGTGAAATAAGTCAGATGGCGAAAGACGGATACCATATGGTTTCGTGTGGAATCTAAAAAACAGACAAGCAGAAACAGACTCGTAGACATAGAAAACGAATGTGATTGCCAGAGGGGAGGAGGGGTGGGAGAATCGGCAAAACAGTGAAGGAGAGTGGGGGGCACAGGCTTCCAGTTATGGGCTAAGTCACCAGGGTAAAAAGTACAGCATAGAGAACACGGTCAAGGGTATTGTAACAACACATGGTGACAGTAGCTATGCGTGTGGGGAAGCACAGCACTATGCAGAGGGTTGTAGAATCACTGTTTCGTACACCTGAACCTAATGTAATATTGTGTCGACTATCCTTAAGTTTCTGTGCTTTCAAAATGCTCAGATTTTAGAAACAATTTTAAAAATAATGGCTTATATTCCAATTTTTTTCTTAGGATGTAGAATTCTCATTTTTTAGATGAACAAACACTATGTTTCTGATACAGAAGTCAAGGATGTGAAATCGTCGAATTCATAACATGAGGCTAATGACTTCTTTGTATCATCTCTAAGACTCCAGGAGTACAAAAGCCTTGGAGATCTTTCTCATTGTGATTTCTATCACTGCCTTCCCACAATTTTGTTGTCTTTGCTTCTTTTGCTCTTTTTCTATCCTCCCTCCACCTTAATTAAACACATCTATCGGAGAATGCAAGTTACACTTCCGTTATGGCTGTTGGCCTCGTACGCCCCTTTTCATACAGACGCCTTTTCTGTACCCGGTGTGAGAAGACCGAGAATCCCGGAAAATTAAGCGTTCAAAAGCAGATGCACTCATAGAAAAAGCAGGACAGACGGTTCCAGGGGCTGAGGGGAAGGGGACATGGGGAGTGACTCAATGGGTAGTTTCTGCTTGGGATGATGAACGGCTTCTTCAAAAGCACAGTGGTGGAGGTTGTACAATGTTGTGAATGTATTTAATGACACTGAATTGTGCACTTACAGATGGTTAGAACGGTAAATTTGTGGATGTGTGTTACCCTAGTTTAAAAACAAAGAGAGGAAAAAAGCAGGTGCAGCACACCATCTCTTCCAGACATCACCAATTTATTCAGAAAATTCAAATTTCAGTTTGGCAACGTATGTCCAGGGGCAGAGAGTTTGGGATAGTCATTTCGTTGGAAGCAATCACATTTTCTAGAGATAAACGTCCATGGGGTAGCATCTGAAGGAAAGAAAGCAAAACTTTTAAAACTAATTTAGTGCGTGGGGTGATAATCATAAATATTTGCAGTTAACAAAACAATCAGCTTACACAACTGAGGCATGAGAAATGCTTATGCTAGTAGTAACCCTTTATTCAGTTCAGTTCAACATACATTAAGCACCTAATTTGTTCAAGACACTGGGCTAGCTGCTGGGGCTGAGGTGGAAATACAAAAATCACCAAGACATAATCCCTGTCCTTAACAAGTTTACAACAGCACATAGAACCATGAGTGCTACAGGTGAGGTACAAAATAACTGCTCTAAAGCCATGGAGGGAGGAGAGTTTGCCTCTCAGTAGAGATTAAAATCGGGACCCCCCTGAAGTTTGGCGGTGTGGGTGAGGCAGGATACAGCATGCCAAGTAAAGAAAACTCTGGGGTCTAGGCAGGTCTCGGCAACAGCAAATGAACTAGCTCCCCTTTAGGTTTAAATGTGTCAAAAGGGAAGGGGTATTCGAAGGGAAGGGGCATGTTTAGTTTAATCCTTCTCATCGACGTTAGCCTATTACAAGGAAGAGATCCACAGGAGTCAAGTCAATTAAGAAAGCAAAGTTTGAAGAGGCAGGGACATGAACAGGAAACACCATTTCATAGTTTAGTGTAAACTCAACCCCGTGTATACACCTCTAGTAGCTTAAGTAACATCATCAAATGGGGGGAAAAATCCATCAGGAGCACCGCAGTTCATCATGGCAGAACAGGGTGTCTCTTGTTAGACTCTACGACTAGCTTTGGTTCCTGCCAATGGAAGACATCATGTTACACGAAAGTAGAAGTCCATATTTTACACGTGATATTAAAGTCCTCAAACGTTACCTCCTCAATTCAGCATAAATGATGACCGAGAGAGAATCTGGGGACAGAGATGGAAGTCCCCGTAGGTAAACCGACCTAATAAGGACTTTGGCATGCTGTATTTCCTATTTAAAAAAATACAGGATGAGCACGTCCCTCCTGAATAACTTACTACGCATAGAACATACTCCAAGAGGAATTCTAACGCAATGTACTACTAATCAAACATCACAGTTTCTGCTTTTGTGATTTACACAAATTACCTTAATTATAATACTTTAGGGAACATGTACAAACACAGTATGTAACGTTTTAATATTCTTCATCAGCTTTAACTTCTAAAAGTTTGGCTTGTATTATCTCAAAAAAACAACAACAACAAACTACTTATAAACCTCATTTTCCCACAGAATTAATTCACCATCCAACTTTAAAAATAAATTTTTTTTAAAAAGAAACCAACAGTAAATTGGAATGCTAACACCTGCCAGGTTTTGATAAAATGAAAATAAACAACTCACATAAACAGCACCTCATAAAGCCAAAACCTTCTTTTGAAGTACAAAGTTCAATTCTTGTCCTCTTAGTAACTGCTAATCGAAGCCCCCCCCCCCCCCGCATCTTCCCCCCTTCAATCCAGGAACCACTTAAGTCACGTGACACACAGTATTTTTTTTTTTTTTTAGCATCAATAAATTATTGATATGGTACCACGAACAAATAGCTAATTTTTAGAAACCAAAGCAACTCAGAGGACTAGCAGAACAGATACAATAGCACACTGAAATGATTTAAAAGTCAAATAAAAACCAAAACGTACCTTACCCTGGTCTTGTATCAATTGAAATGAAAAAACCAAAGGATGAAGTATCATTTCAGACCTATATACATCAAGATGCCAGTTCTTATAAAAACGCACTTCAGTTGTAAATGCTAGATTATGCAAAAATAATTTTATATCAATTGTATTTAACTTTAATGAATTTTCCCCAACTCTAATATTAAAAATGTTAAAAGAACTTAAATTTTAATGGCAAAAAGTTCCTATTTTCCCCATCTATTAAAAAAAGATTTTGTTTTCCCTTATTAACATACAATGCCCTATTGTTAAGGCACAACTTTTTTTTAGGATAAAAATGAAACCGTAGAATAGGTTTATTTTACACAACAGTTACAAGACAGACGTTTTGTAGGCATATACTGAAAATAATGCATCTTAAATTCAACCCGGATCAAAAACGCAAAATCGCCGTTTCTATCCAGGACCAGTCAACACCTAGCCAACGCAAACAGCTGCAGCTAGAATGATCCAAGCGGTTTCTATTTTTAACCTGCCAAAGATTGTCTCCAGAAGGCCATTTTCAAGGTGTTACCAAGGAGAGGCAAGCTGGATGTTTTCTTTTCTGGGGAACAGGGCGTAGGGGCACCCCAGCTCTCTCTACTTATGCTGGGCTATCAGAGAGAGTTCTCACCTTCCAAGCCCGAGTAAGATCCAGTTTCTGAGCATCTGAGACCAGGGCAGGGCTCCCCATCTCTGGGGGCAGATGTTTGCGGCCTCCCTCCCCTCCTCTCCCCTCTCCTGGATGCTTGTTCTTCTTCCGGACTCTCTTCTTAGCCGCCGCCCCTCCCCCCCTTCTTCTGACCCAATTTGCACAATATTCCAAGGGCACACCCCGCAAACGGAATTTGCACAATTGTTGCTTCAACCACATCAACCAAAGCACTTCTCAGCTTCATCATACAGCCATAAATAATCCACTTGAATGCGGATTTAAAATCAAGAAAAACCACTAAAATTGGGGTAAAGAATTTTGCCCGGCAACTGAATACCGGACAGAAATGATCCGTCTCGCAGGCTCTCGTAATCTCCGCTGCAATAGGGACAGAAGTGTGAAAACGAACAGGAAAAGCAAGTTTTCTTAAGCAGGCCTGTATACCTACTTCTCGTATTGACTGCATTTTCCTTCTGTCAAGAACAGATCTGAAGAAATGCTCCGTAGGGACAGAAGCACCGGATTAGCCTTGTCAGGGCGGGTCTTTGTGGTTTTGAAGCTGATCTTCCCTTTTTGAGACGTCTCTGAAAAGTAACGGTCAACCAGAACTCTGACAAGGCTTCGTCTCCCTGTTTGGGAACTGACCTAGCTCTCCGTTCTACCGGGAGATCTCAGCAGCCAACCTGGAGAAAAGTAGGTCTATGAGAGAATTCAGGGGTTGAGCGTTGCGGAAGAGTGCTGGTCAAGAAAGAGGGGCAGAGAGCGAAGGACATTAAAGGGCTGAGGGCATCGAGAACAAGGTAAAGACCAAGGGCAGAGGAAGGGGACGGCCGATAAGTACTGAGGTTACTGGCGTCCCTGTTTTTACTAAATGTGATGGGTAAAACTCAGATTTTAAGGGAACACTGTGCTCTCAATGAGGGTAAAGATAAAGGAAAGAGAAGGCCAGGAGTCAGGGAGGTTCAGGGTCACTAAAAGTTAAACTCTAATTATTGTGCTACATTTTAGAAGTGATTTTATTTCTGTAATTCTGGGAGATATTACATGCCTTACTTATTCATGGCGTTTCACTGGTATGTTCTGGCACAATGTCTCACATAAATAAATATAAACACTGTTCTTTGTACTTCTATTAGTTCTGTAATGTAGACTGACTTTTGGAAACAAAAGCAAAATTTGAAAACGAACTCTCTATGAAAGCACCTAAAAACCATTAGTAATTAGCCTCTACCCAATAAGTTATACAAATAATGCATTTAACTGCCAGCCAATATCTTAATTTTTGCACGCAAGCCCTTCATAAGTCATTATCTACATGCAGATTAATGAAATTAAAAATAAAACCGAAGCAGTCATGCTTGCTAATATGAACTAGTTTCATTTCCATGAAGTTAGAAAGTTTCCGTCTATTGCTGAAAAAAAACAAAAACAAAAACAACCAACAACTCCCAATCAGACGCCGGTTCCTAGTATGCCGGTCCTGTTTCCCCATATTTGACACATTAGAATTAACCGCTTCTACCATGGACTCTGGAAATAATACAAGCCTCTGCCATCCCTCCTGAGAAAAAGTGTTCTCATTTCATTGCCAAGTAGGAAGGTGAGCTCTCCGATTTTCTGTTCTGAATCCCTAAGTCCTGTTTAAATACCAAGTGTCCCGACTACCAAAACGTTGCATGAATTTTCATTGAACAAAATCCCACCTATTGAGGCCCACTCCACTCCCAGACTGGTGACCAGCTGCTGGATATTGAGGAGAAACACGTGCATCCTACCGGATTCAAGTCCCTAATGAGGAAGTAAAGGGCTTTGGAGACCGTGTAAAACGCAGACCTAAAGTTGTATGCACATGCCACCAGATGAGGATGTCCATTCTTTGGTCAATTTTACCTCCAAGATAGGAAAATAAATGGTAAGCTATTTTAAAGAAAACAAAATAAGCCATCCCGCCCCCTTTATCAGAATGTTATAAAATACGAAGTCACATGAAATAACGGTATTTGTTTACATAAAGTTTCCAGATCTCACACGGAGAGAAATCCGGCATCCCCAGGAAAGACAGTTCACAAAGTAAGGGGCTAATTATAGTGACTCAGTGAAGACTCAACCGCCTTTCTTCCAACCAGATTCCACACACCGAATTTTTAAAAATTAATCAAAAAGTAACATTAACCATCATTATTTTAATCTGAATGGAAACTTCAAAGTATCTTCAAAGTTACTACCTTGAGAGTTTAGGTTAGGTGCATTTATTAACGGTAAAAGCAACCAGAAATCATTCTTGATAAGGAGAGAATCTCTACATTCAAACCTGGCAAATTGTTTAAAAAGTACTAAAACAAAGTTTTTTAAAATAACGAAAGCTAGCTTAAGCCATGTAATTGTCAAATGAGTCAATTAGTAGAATCATTTATATTCTTATAGTGCATCATTTATCCCTAATGAGAAAATGTACCAAAATCCTAGTGCTAACCCTGAAACCTTAATCCAGACCTTATGAGTTAAAACTAAATGTTGGTCAGGAGGGAAAGGATGGAACCATGCACTGTCCACAGAGCAAACGAAAATCAATAGGAAGATGGCAGAAACGCTGAACCCAGGGGTACAAATACACTGTTCTGTATCAAAAGAAAACAGAACAAAACAAAACACACACACGGAAACTACAATTACAACTCAACCATCAAACAGCTATATTCTCGACTAGCTGGTGAACCTGTTATTAAAATTTCAAAGAATGAAAACAATTTCAGGTTTTTCTATTTTAATCCTTAAGAAATATTCAGCAACAGATAAATAGAGCATTTGTTGCATATTAACGAATGTGTGGCTGCTTGTGCTTTCTATCTGCATTAGGGGTAAAGACCCCCAATAACTTTATTTTCAATGAGATACACTTGTAAAGTAATTATTAAATCTACACAAAATCAATCCTTTCTTCAGCCCAATTCTATATGAAAGTACGAACAAACAGTGAAGGTTCGTGATGTTGTGTGAAAATGGTGACTCAGAACAATGTACTCAGCTGCAGATTTTAATTCACAAATATATATATATACATATATATATATATGCGCCTTGTGTATTGACAACTGTACGAAAATCGTCTCAAAAATAAAGACAATACTTGAGACACGAAGCAACCCATTTTCCCTGATCTTCCATCCTATTACAGGGAAAATAAGTCTCTGATGCTTCATAAATACTTCAGAAAGTTCAGGATGGCCTTAACCATGCATAGTCTGCACCGATGCTTTGAAGCCCCCGGCGTTTCGGCGGACCGCTCAACTTGGGAAGAACTGTGACCTGTCATCAGCTTTGCTTATTTATGTCCTGTCTTCTCTAGATCTGGCAGTTTTCTGACCAGGGCTTGGTGGTTCATTCTGATGCTGGCAAGGAGCCCTCCTTCAATGCCGTCGGACCCAGTGTAACTGATTTCTTCACCACTCAGGGTAGTCATATGCCCCCCAAGGGCTTTTAAGATGGCGTTGCCAGCACATATATCCCATTTTTTGATGTATGTCACATGGATATACAGATCAGCTTTTTCTTGACTCTTATCGGGTACATCCAAGAGTGCTAAGACTTTATAACCTAAAAGATGAACACAGAATTTAAGTTACGATTCCCAAGATTTAAAGAGAGTAGCTTCCTGTTTAAGAGTACATTGTTAAAAGTAACGGCACAGGACGTGAAGGAGTTCTCTTGACTGTGTTTGCAAGGGCTAAGTCTAAAATTATCTAAAAATAGTTTTGTTCTTTTTATTTTTTTTTTTTTTCAAATAACAGCCAGACATTAAACCTAAATGAGCAGAAAATATACTGCAAAATAACTTACGAAGCTATTCTTAAGTGTAACCAAACACACGTCTATAATTTTTTAAATTTAAATCTACTTTGTGGTTGTTTTCTATGGAATGATACATACACTATGTCTCATTTCCTACGGAATACTACACCGAAGCTAAATCCATCTAAATACCCACGAGCGCTGGATCTGAAAGACCAAGCACTACAATCTGAAGCCCTTATTGTAATGAGGCAAAGTTTTTTAAAAAATAATATAATAAAACACACAGATGAAACCAGGTCCAGAATCTGGTTTATCCCATTCCCACCAGGTATTCTGAACCTTACCTTTCCTAACCAGCCTAACAGAGAGCTTATAAGAAAACAATGAAGTCATATTAAGTAAGGTACCTATATATAATCACTAAATTAAAATTACTGGGCTTAAAAGTTAATCATTACTTTTTCCTTTATTACTGTGGTGAAAAGGTCTTCAAACACACGTTTCTGACCACAACGTGTTACTCATTAGAGTTAAAACACTTCTGTCCTATTCGACGGCACTCAAAACAAGGGGAGGCAAACGGCCTGTGAGCCACATCCAGGCCATGTGCCGGTTCTGTAGAACCCTAAGGCCACGAATGGTTTTCTGTATTTTTAAAGGGTGCCAGAAACCCAGACATCCAAGAGGGTCCATATGTGGCTCGTAAAGCCTTAAACATTTATAGTTGGCCTTTCAGAGAGAGTAAGCCGACCCCGGATCAGTAACGCAGGTAATAAAATGGTAGAGAACGTGCGACGAGCTGGGTGGCCACTAGACTCGGGCTCGCCCCGGACACGAAGGCTGAAGAGTTCAGAGGTGTCGAAAGTGACCCGCGGGTCAGCCACTGTAGGGACCCTCGTGATGACGCCTGGCATCGTTCTGCCACACGAAGCATCAGAATGTGCTGGATCTCCCCTCTCCTCACAGATACTCCTGCAGCGAAGCTCCCAGCGTGATGACTTATGCCACTGACGTGAAGATGCCGCCTCAGTGTTCGAGGAGCAGGAGTCACCGGGCTGAGACGTGCCGCTACTGTTGACACCGTGGCTCATACGAAGGCATGTGTGACTGAGATCCCACCCCAGACATTACCAAGTAGGCACCAGGCCTGTCGGGAGAGCACGCGCTCTATCCTCCCTTTTCTTCCCGAGCACAGGGCCAGCGATCCTTCCTCCTGACAGAAGCCCTGACCGTGCTGGGGACGCGGGGCACCGGCGCCACAAGGGGGGTAGGAACATACCGGCACCACCAGCTGGGATAATGGTGGTCTGGTTTCCAAAAGTCTGAAGAGCAACCTGCTTGACCATTCCTGAATGGGAGCGTGACACAACGATCCTCGGGGTCCTCTCGTTGTAGGAAGTGCGGGCTTTCACGTTGGACCCACCATCTACCATGGCCCAAGCTGAAAAGCAAATATAATACCCATTAACAGCACTGAAGCTTTTTGAAACTAAAACTCAACGTACAAAGGGTTGACTGGAAAAATATCCTTTTACACGGAATTGCTTGTATTTTTTTTCCAAAACGGAAATTTTTTTTTTCTGAGAACCAGAGTAATATTTAGTATTTTTTTTACACTAATAGGCAAATATGAAGACCAAGTTAAAAAAGGCCGTGTGATCCTGCCCAACCAGAGACAGTGGCTACTTAAGACTTGACTTAACGATGCCCAGGTTCCAGAGCTCCTTGTGAGCTGCTGAGTGCTCACTGGGATTGCACCCCAATCTCCCTGTAGCTCGGCCAGCGTCTTCCCCTCCGCTACACAAATAACTCTTCAGGAAACATCCTGCATGCTCATCTCCACGTCAAAAGTCTGGCTCCTGGGGAACCCTACCTGTAACCACCTAGGACATAAGCAGCAAAACTAGTTACCCTGGATAATTAACAACTTAAAACAGGTTTTGCTCCTATACTACCTCTATTTCTGATACGTTCGTAGTTTTAATTATTCGCATATCGGACCCGTCTCCTAAGGGAGCTTTATAAACATAAGGCAGCTCAAGGGGGGAGTCAGGGTTACGTATCTGCTTTGTTGGAGAGCGTAAAAAAATGCTCTAGATTTCGAAATAGAACAGGAATTATAAGAAGGTGAGGAGACCCTCGAGATGGCTTGAAATGTTTTTCTCGGCTTGCAAGTTTTCCTCAGTGACTACCAAGCTATACAAGAGAACGGACTTACTCAGAATCATCCCCATTAGCTTGGTGCTCTAGCAGTCACTCACCATGGGGAAAAACAGTCCGCATGGCTACATGCTGTCCGGACGACAGCAGCTGCATTACCACTTACTCCCGGCTGCAGGAAAACATCAAAAAAGTGAGCAGAGTCGGGGTTTCTGAGTTCCCCGAAGATGATGGCAGGCTCTCGGACTCCCGTCACACTTCTTTCTAAAAACCACACACAGCGACAAGGAGGGCAAATACGCACACCCTTCATCAACGGCTAAGGAATCAGTAGAAGACGGAGACTGGTCACAAACGCAAACTTCAGAGAAAGAAGAGAAGTAAACACTGAAGGTCAGCAGAATGAGTGCCACGGCTGATCCCAGGGTGGGGACTGTGGCAGGAGCTCCGGACATGCCAAGAGGTTGGAGGACTCTCGGTGGTGGGAGAAGTCAGAGAACAGCGGCCGGGATTTCTCCCCAGAGGGAAAAGGTCCCATCTGAGATGAGAACTCCCGAAAGCGGGCCTGAAATGTGGCAAGAGAGCAGCGACAAGAGGAGGCCAGGAGAAGACACAGAGCCCAAGTGAAGTCCTGAGGGCACGCAACACCTATCGGGACACGTCTCCATGAGTGTCTCCACGAGAGACAAAGACGGGAGACTGCAAACAGAACTAAAGAAAAGGAGTTGGAGATAAGGGCCCTCCTGAAATAAGAAAGCAGAAGGGTGGAAACAAAACAAGATGCCTGCTAACAAAGATAATGTCTTCCTCACCCTAAAGGAGACGAAAGCTCCTGGGCTGAGAACCACCCAAACACCTTCCCACAACTCCGCAATGGCCGTGCGGCGGCCCAAATGGGAATGAGAAACATGGACTACTGCAAAGTCCGCTGAAACCAGAAGAAGAAAACACAACGAATGAAGGTCGAAACGTTCCAGGCTACTTGAAAATGCTCACAGATCACGCAGAATAAAACGGTAACACAATATTCTAGAGAACAAGAAAGAAAAAAAGAAAGAAAGAAAGAAAGAAAGAAAGAAAGAAAGAAAGAAAGAAACAAACAAACAAACAAACAAACAAGAAAAAAAACCCAAAAGAACACCATGGAACAAAGAAACAACAACTGAGGACAGGTAGAGAAGTAGGAACATAGTAAATGAAATGGGCCCTCGCGTAACGCGGGGAAGAAATTGAAAACAACAACAACAACAGAAACACAAGATGGCTGAAGACTTAGCCCTAGATGGTGGGATATACGGAAGGGCAACAGCGTGGCCCAAAATCAGAGCAGGCAAGGAGGATGGCAAAGGATAAGTGAAAACGAGAAAACTGATTAAAGGGACCAGAGAGAAGGCAACACACAGACGTCAGCGGAAGAAGAGTCAGTATATACATATTAGCAGGTCTCTGAAAAGGGGAACCAGGAGCCATGAGATAGAACCCGTTGTAAAATTACGGTCCAAAAGATCATGCCTGAAAGAAAAGAGAACCGAAATGTCCACACGGAGAGACACACTGTGTAGACATCTGCCCAGAAAGCCAACTCTGTATCTGACATCTAGAGTTCTATTATTAGACTTTCAAGATAAAGTTCCTTGGCACTCCAGGCAAAAATACCAAGCTCCTTACAAAGGAAAGAAAATCGGATTATCGGCTTCGCTGCCAACGGGATTCAGCATGCACCCACACGGATATTAATCAGTTCAATATTTTCTACCAGTAACCAAGAGAAAAGAGTGCAGCGGGGGTAAGACAGCGTCCTACTAAAATTCATGCCTGCTACGAACCTTTGGAATGTGACCTCATTTGGATACAGGGTCTTTGCAGATGTAATTCAAGTCAAGGTCACACTGGATTAGAGTAGGCCCTAAATTCAATGACTGGTGTCCTTACAAAAACAGGACACACAAAACACAGACTGAGAGAACGGGAAGGAGGAGGCATGGAGTGATGGGTCTACAAACCAGGGCACCAAGGGATGTCTCACGCCACCAGAAGCTAGAAGAGGCAAGGGAAGTCTTCAAGAGGGAGCACGGCACTGCTAACAACTTGGTATCAGACTTCTGGCCCCAAAACTGCGAGAAAATAAATTTCTGTTGTTGTAAGCCCTCAAGTTGATGGAAATTTGCTAGAGCACCCAAGGATAGAGGGCTAAACCAAAGAGTTTGGAAGTAGCGGAGTCTTTCATGTATCAAGGCTACAGGAAGAGCTTTTAACACGTTAAGAACTCAGATAATAGGAAGGACAGCTATGTGCTAGCTCTTCTGAAGTAATCCATTAGAGGATGAGCTTTAGCCAACTGAAGGAGGACTGAAGAACACTCAGCAAAAGCACTGTTGGTCAGCACTGAATAAATTTAACTGGGGATTTAAGAGGAAACCAAAGACAGGAATAAAGGTTTTGGAAGAATCAAAGCGTGTAAATGATTTGTGTGTAAGAATCAAAGTGTGTAAACCAATCACAGTTGATTGGTTAGAGTCAAGGGATACCATGTAAATCTAAAGAGCTGAAGAGCAGAAAGACAGGTCAAAAAAGCTACGACTGACCAAAATGGGATGGTAGTCAAGGAGGCTAAAGGAAGCTCATTTCTTTGTTGCTCATAGGGGAGACCCAACGGACGATACCTAAGGACTACATAATGAATGGCATTTAAACAAAAAAGTTGTATACAAAGGTATTTTAATAAAGAGTAGGCAACAAAAAGAACAAACTTAACTTAAAAATAATAAGTAGGTTGAATCACACTGAATACATAAAAATCCATGAGATGTCAAGGATATTAAAAAAATAAAGGAAAAATCCTGCTCTTCCTGGAAAAAATAACATGTGTTTCCACTGGAGGTCATTTTTACCCAAAGTCCTTACTCAGAAATTGGTAAAGAAAAAAAAGTTAACTATGTATTTTGTCTTTCTAGTAGGAACTACATTTCAGGATCAACAATTCCAGTTGATGAAATTGCTCTACACACGAATTTTAGTTTTGAAAACAGTTTTTTGAAAAAACACACAGAATTAGAAAATTCCATTTTACATCTTTAACAGATCTTTTTTAAAAAATGTTTATTTATATTTGAGAGAGACAGAGATGTTAGCAGGGGAGGGGCAGAGAGAGAGAGAGAGAGACAGAGACAGACAGAATCTGAAGCAGGCTCTGAGCTGTCAGCACAGAGCCTGACATGGGGCTCGAACTCATGAGCTGTGACATCATGACCTGAGCCAAAGCTGGACATTTAACCAACTGAGCCACCCAGGTGGCCCACAGCTTTAATAGATCTTAAAACTATTTTGTGAAAGGCTTAACGGAATCCTGATCTCAAACGGTGCCGAAGTATTTCTCCAGACTACCTGCTGGTAGCCAGAGAATAAAAATAATTTATAGCAGATCTAGTCATGACCACTTTAAACATCTTAGCATCACTAGTAATGAGACGAGATAGCATAAGTCATGTAAAATGATGCAACAGGAAGTACATGATGAGTATCTACAACGTATTGACAAAAATGCTAACCTTAAGCCAGTCAAGGCTTTGGATCTAATTTGCACTTTAGAACAAAAAGAATATGAAAAATAAACAAGTTAAAGGACACCCCGAGCAAATAATCAGAGAAATCCAAAGAGCAGGACATTATGTAACAAGTAATTTGATCTCAACAAGTAATGTCACAGGGAAGAACAGGACTAGAGGTTGTTCTAGATTAAGAGAACTTAACAGAGCAACAAAAAAATGCATGTCATGAGACTGGATCTTGGTTTGAAGTAACCAGTTGTGAAATCCACTTTAGTAACAATTGAGGGAAGGGGTGCCTTGGTGGCTCAGTTGGTTAAGCATCCGACTCTTGTTTTCAGCCCAGGTCATGATCTCACAGTTTGAGCCCCGAAGAGGGCTCCGTGCTGACAGTGTGGACCTTGCTTGGGATTCTCTCTCTCTCTCTCTCTCTCTCTCTCTCTGCACCTCCCTTACTCATGCACACACTCTTACTCTCTCTCTCTCAAAATAAATAAAATGAAATGAAAGAAAAGAAAGTAAAAAGAAACAACCAGGGAAAACAGGAGTATTGGATCAATTAGGGAATAAATGCTAATTTCAATGTTATATTAACAGAACTGTTATGTAGAAACATGTCCTTTTTAGAGATGCACAGTGAAGTATATAGGGATAAAATGTCATGATCCTTGTAATTTTCTTTAAAGCACATGAAAAAAAAAGGAAGCAAACATAAAAACGTTCAACTGTTAAATCC